TATTCATTTTATCTAATCTAATCTTAACAAACTTAAAAGGATCCATATTTTTACATATTAGTTACTTTTATAATTATACATAAAGAGTAAACATGAAAAACAAGAAATAAAATACTTAATCTTCTATTTTCTTGCTGTCAGTTTTCGAAAGGGGTTAACCCTAATTTTTTATGCTAGCTATAGTAATACACTTGATAATTTATATTTAATTAAATAATGCACCAAAGAATATAGACTAATAACATGGAAAAAGTAGACAAATTCCCTTACCTCTCAAAATCTTTCTGGCTTTCTAACTATGCGACAAGAGCCATTACAAATTCATCCAAGTTAGTTGCTAACTTTCCCGTGGGAATAATGTTGGTACACTGAGTGAAATTGACATCTAACTGTTCAGAACATAACGTTATACAATACATAATTTGATAGATGAAAACCTTGACTTTCTATTGGTTATAGGTAGTATATAATAAAATGTAAGAGAGAACTATCAACAAATTCTGAAAGAGAGGATGTGACAGGTGGGTGTGGCAGGAAGGGTTTGATTTTCTATTCAATAGCTCTGTAACCAAACAACATTGAAGACTATAAAAATTATGGTTTTCTGAACAATAATAATTTTATAGAGAGTAATTTACTTTAAATTTCATACTTTTTCGAGGGGTAGTGAGTAAAATAGGGATGATGACATGCAGAAGAAAATGGGTCACACTAGTGGAAATTCAGGATTTTTTTAAATATTGTCTTGTAGAATTAAGAACTTAAAACTTGTATACTATGAAAATATAGATTATTATCTAAGATTTGAAGCTATTCTAATCAGTATAACATAAACAAAAAGTATTTTATAAAATTTTGAATGTAAGACACTAAAACATTGTGTCATGTGCAGTAAAGGATACCCATGGTGATAGGGTTAAGAAATATCAATTACTTTACAAGCATATACTGTGGGGTCATGACCTTGCAGAAGAACATGAAGGTAAAAGGAGATATATGTCCAAAATCCACTCAGGCATTGTAAATTATCTACATAAGGTTGGTGAGGACTGTATTACACTTCAGAAACACCCTTGCCCCACAACCTAGCATAGAGGGATCAACTGTTTTAGCACCAACAGTTAGGTCCCAATCAGTGTGGATTCTCCATGATCCATCACCCTAGTGTCTGGGAGCTGATAAGTGGCAAGGGTTTCCTGTGTTCCACACAAAGAGGGGAATTGCATAGGGAAGACCCGGAGAAGGTGACTGGATCCCCATTGGTCCTTCAGTCTGGAAAAGTCTGTTACTGGAGATAGTGCAATGGCTAACTGCAAAACACTATATTTTAAAAGCCAGCAAGTGCTAGCTAGAGAAGTGGGCAGATACACAACTTTGGTGCTGGCTTTTTCCATGACAGTCCATGGAATGGGTACAGTCTGGATAAGACTAGAAAACTTTATATAAACACCAGGAGTAGAACTCCATTGATCTTGCAAAACATCTCATCTAACAGTGGCACTAATTAGGTCATAGCAGACAGTTTGAGTGCTTTTCATTACCCTGATCCAGTGCAGCATTTTGAGCAAGTATTCCCTGTGAAGCAATACTAGCCACCAAACGAGATCCAAATGCAGAAGAAAAGTGAGAAAGGAATAAATAATTGAATACCCTCATCTATTACAGATGCAAGGTCAACTGAAGAATGGCTGTAGGTGAGAAGTCTGTATGCTATTGGTGAGGAGACCGTCAGATCATGGAGATAGTTTAACCCTTTCCACACAGGGAGAGGCCAGAGGGCATTTATTAACGTTTGCAGACTTATATTGAAACTTTTATCAAATTATTATTTTATGAATGTATGTCAATAAATTTGGAATAAAATTGTAGTTAAAAAATCAAATTTTAGTATTATACATTAATTTTTAAAAAATTGCTAAATATCAATTTTTGCATGTCATGTAGCATGTTATCATCTACTTTTGGTCAGATTACATTTTATGATGCCCACAATACAATGTCATAGTTTCTTTCCATTTACAAACTCAAACTACTGATACTGACTCACTAGAATATAAAATAAGAACCTCTTACCTTTTCTATTTGTTGAGATATCATTATATTTAGCAAATCCACCACAGTGGCTTCTCCCACACCTTCCTCTTTTGGAAATACTTCTTTACCTACACCCAATTTTCCCAATCACACGTTTATAATCAATCAAAAGTGCTCATTTTGAACTAAATAATTCTGCCAGTCTTCCTATAGTATTTATACGGGTAAAGCCATTATTTCTGTTACAGAGTTTGAAGAGTGGTGGTCAAGGCAATATGGGGCTTGGAAATTAGAATTTTTAGACCCAAATACAGCTTAGTGGCATTTTGTGGTATCAATAATTAATATTAATAATTAATAATTTTGGTATTTCAAAACACATATAAAAAAACCTACAAAAATTATTTTCTTTACATTCTCTATGTTCAAAATCCAACGAGGCTTAGCCAATACAAAAAACATTTGTAACATCAAAAGTAATAGAGATCATTGTTTTCTGCATATTTTTTATTTATTGTTCTATGTTTTAAATAAAATAGTTAAAATTTAAGAACTTATTTGTACATAATAATATATATATACATATGTAATGTTACTGTATTTTGCAAAATACTGGTATGCTAGTACTAAGACTAAGAAGAGTAAGACATTTGTACTTAGTAAAGGCCAGTTTTGTTTTATTCAATACTGTAAATGGGAGCTGCACAATTTACAACTTGTGTGGCAGGATTATTAGTCATAGATTGTTCAAAGGTCAATAGAACAAAAAATTAATAAAAATAAAGATATGTATATTGTTACATGATTTAAGCTATTGAGATTAACCCCCAGTTAACAGCTGGTACCCATTGTACAGCTGGGTAGGCTGAAACAAGTGGGGTTAATTGTCTTGCTCAAGGACACAACACCATGACATAGGCAAGCCTTCAACTCACAACCATCTGACTATGAGTAGAAAGCATGAAGCCACTAAGCCATACAACCCCACACAGACAAATATGAAGGTATCATTAACCCTATCGGCACGGGTACCCTTTACTGAGCATGACACAAGGTTTTAGTGTCTTACATTCAAAATATTATTAAACTATTTTTGTTTATGTTATACCAATTAGAATAGCATAATTTTTATAAGCTTCAATTTTGTTTGGTTACAGAGCTATTCAATAGAAAATCAGACCCCTCCTGCCACACCCACTTGTCACATCCTCTCTTTCACAATTCGTTGATAGTTCTCTCATACGTTTCATTATATATTACCTATAACCAATAGAAAGTCAAGATTTTAATCTATCAAATGACATATTGTATAACGTTGTATTCTGAACAGAATATTGTTACTTTCACTCACAGTACAAGATTCATTCCTGTGGGAATGTTAACGACTAGCTTGAAAGAATTTGTTACGGCTCTTGTCGTATTGTTAGAAAGCCAAGAAAATTTTGAGAGCTAAGTAAATTTGTCTACTTTTTGCATGTTATTGGTCTATATTCTTTGGTGTATTATCTAATTAAATACAAATTGTTTACTGCTTTACTAAAATCACAAAAAGAAATCAGGCTTAACTGTCCTTGCAATTGAGGGCAAGAAAAAAGAAGATTGTGCAAGTACTTTATTTCTTGTTTTTCATATTTATTCTTTATTTATTATTATAAAAGTAACTAAAATTAAAAGTAAGGATCTTGTTAAGTTATTTAAGACTAGATTAGGTAAAATAAGTAATAATAACAACAATATAATTAAAATGGTTTACGAGGGACACAAGCAAGCAGTTTGTGGGTAATGTAATTCGATAACGTAATGTGAGCTGCATATTCCCCAAGTGATTTACAACTTTTCTGGCAGGAATAGCAGTTAGACACGGTTAGAAGGGCAATAAAACATTAAAATTTAATTATAAATAGATGTATAATGTTATGAACTAAGAGCTACTT